GACCGGCGGGCAGTAAGATATACGATGATAAAAAAACTTTCCTTGTGTTTAATTAATTAGGCACTACGCCATGAAGACATGGGGAAGTGGACGCATAGCTCACCATTCTTGACGTCTGCTTCACATTCCAGCCCCTATACCGCCGAGGAAATAATCCCTGGTACACACTGGATAGGAGGTCGGGTGGACCTTAGAATCGGTCTGGACACTGTGGAGTACAGAAAAATCTCTTGCCCTCGCCGGGAATCGAAACCTTATCGACCAGCTAGTAACCCCTCACTATGTCGACTGAGCTATCATAGCTCCTTTTTCTTCTTTTATTCCTATTGCTCCCAATTAGATCTTAGGGCATCCATGAAACGCTCTTTTTATTTCAATTTCTTAATCTTAGACAGTCGGTAGGACTCTTTGGACGTGGGGTCAGCCCATCGCAAGGCCACTACCTACACAAACACAGAATATTCGCACACAGACATCCATGCGTTGAGTAGGGTTCGAACCCATGATCCCAGTGCTCGCGCAGCGACGACTTTTCATGCCTTAAATCGCGCTGACACTGTGAACGGCTCCAGCTCCTTATACGGTAATAAAACTATTTATATTTGTTTAAATAGATTTTAATGTCCCCCATATTTATCCCAGCTTATCGTGGTGATAATTTTGCGAGAGCTGCAAACCTGAGCCTATGCCGGAATTAGAGCGGGTACAGGTAGGCTCTCCCTCGCGGGACAGGTGGAGAGGAATACCGTGATCTTCCAGTTTCGGGGGCTTATATGCCTGGGTTAGTATCCTCCTCCTTAAAAAAATTTTGATGCACATAAACAAAAAAGGGCCGCCAAAATTTTTGGTAAGAAAATACCGAATTAGATTGAACGGTATAAACCAAAAGGACATGGAGACCGAGTGAGATTTTGGAAAAGACGGAACGGATACGGGGGTGTGAAGTCGAAGCACATTTTCTACACCACGAAGTCAAGAAGATTTTCATGTTAGGCCCTGCTTGTTATGTGAACTAAAATTACTGACGTTAATAAGTAGTAAAGACATACGTATGAAAATGAATATTTTTACAGCTTACATTTTTAATTTTATTAGCGTAAAACATCTAAGAGGAACTCAAGCGTGGCTGTGTCTCTTTACCATCAATTTATCAATCTCTCTGCGTTTTGAAACTCAATTTTTTTGTTGCCATTCATATGCGTATCATTCGGGTCACATTTGAACGTACTTGTACGTCTGTCCGCCTTTAACCTGAATGATTTTCGTAGTTGCAATGCTCTGAGTGCATCCGAAGGTCTGACTATCGGTTGTAGTCAGTATAGCCTATCGAAATTCGATCAGGCTACCTCCCGACACAAAGCTAGCGCGTTACCCGTTGTGTCAATGTGGTTAGCTGCAGACTCAGTGCGAGTAGTTGTCAGAATTTATACAGGGTACTCACACTAAAATGTGAGGAACCAGAATAGCGCAGTCAGTATCGCTACTGGCTATAGGTCGGAGTCCGAGTCCCGGTAGGGTCAAGAATTGTCTTTTCTCCAAATCGTCCAGTCCGACACTGGGGCCCACCCAGCTTCCTATCCAATGGGTACCAGGGGTAAAGCGGCAAGGGCGTGAAGCTGACCACTGGCCTGCAACTAGTGCAGAGGTGAAGAAAATGTGGTACTATATATTCATTTCCCCACACGTCTTCATGGCCTAATGTTTATTTAGTTAAGCACAGAAAAAACTTAATCTTTTACAGTAAATATTGCAACCGCAGGAGTGTAAACACGCGCACACAAATATGTATATATAGGTCTAAAGATAAATTGGATATATATATATAGATATATCCACGCAGTTAGAAAACTGCTTTCCCCGCTCCTGTCCACTGCTGGCTGCGGAATCGTTGCTTCCTGACTTTATCTTCATAAAGCTCATTGTTCAGCATTTAGTTGCCCTTAGACAGGTACAAATGCAGTTCGCAGTGTCGTGAAATAGAGTGTTCAATAATGGAATATATTGTTGACCATAAATTATTCATATGCGATATGCTGTTTAGCGGTCTTCACGTGTAAAGTTCAGTAGAAACTTTCGTAGGAAGTTTCCGGACTGTACAGTGCCATGTACAACAACGACTCACAATGTCGTAACAAAATTACGTTCTATGGGATTGGCGTTGGGGGGGGGGGCGACACGAAAGAAGATATGTACGGACTGAAGGCAAATTCTATGCCAGGACTCGATTAGAAGCAAGCCGGAAGTAGCTGTCGTGTCATTTCGCTCTGCAGTGTGGGCTGATAAAACGTACAGCTCACATCGGTATAAAGTTGCCGAAGTTACGCGGTCAAGACTTGCACTCCTACGTAACCTCCCCCCCCCACCAGATCGTGAAGCAAGAACTCGATATTCTAGGTGGTTTCGGAAATCAGTATTCAGTGGACTTCTTCATCTAGAACTGACGAGGCTTGTTTCGTTTTAAGCGGTTACGCAAACGGCCAGAGCAACGGACGCTAGAGCTCACAGGATTATGCTCGTGAGGTGCCCTGGGTATGGTGTGTATGTAGTTAGTGCGCAGAGGATAATTAGGCTCGTGTTTTACAAGAAACAATAAATTCCGAACGCCGGAACACGCACCGGCTGAAAGAAAGCTCTGTTAATACGAGTACTGAGATTTAGCGGAAATACAAGGTGGTTCAAATATGACCGGAACTGATTTTTTTAACCACCTAGTACATATTGCGTGGCCCGTAACACATGTAGTGCTTTGTTTCATGTTGTCTGCCTACGGCTATAGGTAAATCAAATGGAACAGCTTCGGGTTCAATTTCATAGCTCTCTTGAAACCTTGAGAACACCCATCAAGTTATAGAATATCGTGACTACGGTTTTCTGAGATATGACACCGTATATTTTGGCAAACTGGCGGAAGAGTTTCAGCGTAACTTGCTGCCTCCATCTTCTGTTCTGATGGAGGTGGCAGCAGATTCCATCGAAACCATTGTTCTCAATCTACGGTCTTACATTCCAGAAGGCCGTAATCTTAATATCTGCTGCATCGAAAATCTCAAATCGTGTTCGTAACTCACTGCATGGAACGGAGTCCTTATTGAGAAGCTGATAGTTTCTTAGCTGGCTAATAAATTCCTGCCTTTTATGTAAACCTGAGAGTTTATTACCGTATTCATAAAAGGTTGTCTGTGGACCCTGTTCTGTGACAGACGATTCTATGACATCCTGCTTCTTGCGCGTTGTCTTATTTACCGCAAGGGATCCAAGTAGTTTCTATAGTCAGTCGGTCTTAATCTTTAATATTAATCTGTTTAACGACGCTGTCAACAGCTCAGATTATTCAGAGTGTCCCAGAAATGAGCGCCGTAAATTTAGAGGGTCAGTAGTATAACTGAAAACAGCGAAAAGAGTTCGTAAAAGCATGGGTCCGGAAATGACAGCCTCCTGCCTACAGATCCAGAGGTCCCCGGTTCGATTCCCGGCGCTACCAGATTTTATGAGAAGTAGTGGGTCTGGAACGGGGTCCACTCAGCCTCGTGAAGATAATTGAAGAGCTACTTGAATGGAAAAGTAATGGCTCTAGAGAACCGAGTTTAACGTCCACGTGACACCCTCTATCCTCTAAAGTTGGCACTAACTTCGACGACAAGCGGCGGTCGCTCCGTCGGTATAGTTCGCTTGGCGGACTACAGGCCACGTCGCTTTCTATGGGTTCGCAAGTACTTCGGTAGCGAAATAGTGCCGCTCGAAGTTGATCCTGGCAGCAGCAGGATAGTACAACTTCCGTTACAAATGTAACTTATAGCAGGAACACTTCTGATGGCAATTGAAGTTGAGAGTTCAAGATGTGAATGAATGCTTGACTTTTATGATGGCTACCTTCCTCATTCAACTACCCACTCATCGTGTTTGCAGTGAGAGTGAATTAGCAATGTAACATCAGGCGTCCATTTCCAACAAACTGCACATACAGTCGAGTGAAGTTCTTTCAGTGACGTTACTTTGTTAGTGTGTGCTTCAAATGGGCAGGTACACAAATACAAGTTGCTTTTGTAAGAGAAGTTCTACTGTCCTACTGTGGCGGTGAAAACTATGATAATTGTTTCTTTGTTGGCTGGGGAAGCTGGTAGTGGCAAAAGCCACTCACTGCCATCATTCTCACCTCGAATTTTCTTCATAATTGTCCCTAGCGTAAGTTGCTTTTGTAACCGGAGTTGTACTATCCCACTCGTTCTTTGCCGGGAACGTCATCAAATGGCTCTAGTTCGATACCGAAGCATTTCCGTGCCCATGTTAGTACAAATTATTTTCACTGTTTTGAGTCTTACCATTCCTTCTCCAAGTTACTGCACTTATTTCTGGGAGACTCGGTGTAGTGTCAGTTGGCACGATGGATAATGAATTGGCCAAGATGTGGCAGGAAACATCCATAGCCTAATTTGAGGTGCCACGAAAAGCCTCAATCAGGCTGCTCGGTGTCAAAGCCGAGAATCGAACGCGACACCTCGTCAGTCAGAATCCTCATCACTTGAACCATCTTGCTTGGTATCATTTTTAACAATGTTATGTTTAAGTATTTTAATTATTTATTAAACCTGTTTAGCCTGTGAGAGTAACGATAGCTAAGTAATTTTCTAATCACAGATTTTTTCTCACGAGGCTGACACCTGGTCACCTCGACTCCGATTCAAAATAATTGAGCAGAATAATATATAAATCTTAGTTGTATTTATTTCACGGAGGTGCATATGTTCTCTTGTCATTCAGTTGCAGTTCTTATTTAGTTAGGAAATAATCGCTCCCGGTTTGATCTTTTTGCCATCGTATATGATACTGCACAGTCTCCTGCACTGTATAATACAGATGCATCGTGGTTGCAACCCCCACGCATCCAATCATCGTCATGTGCCATTGTGGGGTCCGGGCCGAGGTTCGAGTCAGCGAGGCCTTGAGACGGACGGGGAGCAGCGCGCCGGATCCTACCGGCCGGCAGTCTACCGCAACTGGGCGAGCGATCCTGTTCAGTCTTCTAGAGACAGGCGAGTACTTGCTGTGGAGACGTGAGGCAGTGTGGATGCCAGTGCAGAGTCAATGTCCGCCGCGCGCGCAAACCGGTCAGAGCGCCAACAGTAGGGTCTGCTAGTAAACTCACTTAATTCGGTTACATTCGTTTTGTGAAATAGGGCATTAACCACAAGAGCTTGTTGTTTTGTATTCGGACCTTCATTTAAACTTTTGGTGGTAGTTTGGTTTTTCATAAACAGCGTGTGCAGGAGACAGAAAAGCACTTTTTATATTATAGTTACTCTGTATTGTGCGTGTGAATGTGTTTACATTGTTTCTTGATGTTCAGAACTGAGATGTGCTGAAAAGAAAGTGCAGTAACTGGCAAGAGGACTTCAGACACAGGTAAGTTATTTTGATGTAAAGTGTTGAATGGGTCTAGTAGTCGGCTGTAAAGTGTTGAATGGGTTTAGCAGTTTCAGTAGGTTACCCCAATGCTCTGCTGCTGAGGATTGATGTCCAGTGCGTGACCTGCTTGAACGGTCATGGAATTCGTTTCTGTCCATACCTTTTAGTAATTACTTGAAATCAAAATAGTACGAAAATATACAAGTTGATCTAGATTTCCTGTTGTTGTGTCGCGGATGGATAGGTTCTGTATGCGTGTGACGAATACAAACGTAGGTTATCCGGCACGCCCACCACTTTTCGTCGCAGAAACAAAGGAACCGTGCTTTTATAAAGCTATACTTCGCAGAGAGATTGATACAGGCCTATTAGTACGTTGAAACTTTATAAGTTGGTAGTCTCTGAACAGCTGAAAGACAAAATATGCGACACAGGTATAAACTCGTTTTTATTCGTTAGTGAAGAGATTGTGTAATTACTTCAAACTACTTGTTGTCATTCTTTTCTCGACCTTTTTATCTGTACATTCAATTACAATACTGCATGTTTTTGGAGTTTGTGGTTATTACATGCCAGCACTGCGTGACATGTAGGATATGATCTGATTATTAACGATTATAAGCGAGTTCGATAATGTGTGTTGATAATAACTCGTAATATCCCCCATTTAATCATTTAATGAGGAGGTGGACTGTTGCATGTTTGCGGAGCGCCGAATGAAGCTACTTCGAAGCAGATGGTCATGTGAGAAGAGCTGCCCAATTGCCAAATATGCCAGTTACTTTGCTGTCTGAACAGAGTTTGTGCCGATCAAAGTGGCCTCGCGGTATAAGGGGTGTACTCTTCTTCCGTGACCTCAAACATTTGGATCATGGGTTCGAGCCCCACTTAGGGCATTGATATATCCATTTTTTCTGTGTAGATAGATCTTGCGAGTGGCCGACCTCTGTTCGCGGGGCCATCCCAAATGTTCATATGGTTTCGGAACGTAGAAAATTTGAGAATGGTGGAGCTATAACTTCACTGCCCCATACATCATCACGCCGCGGTGCTTAATTAAGGACAGGAACAACTTTACCCTTTACCCAGAAAACTTGAGGCCTTAGACCGCGCTGGTGAGACGTAACATGGGATAACATCGTTTGTTAGACAGACCGAAAGACATAAAAATAGTATTACGAATCGTAGTGTTTATGGGAACAACCTGGGGGAGCATAACGTAGATCGATCATATCAGAATGGTGTAAAAAGGAGTGTGCGAATGTGGAGTGGTTTCATGTGGCTCAGGTTAGAGGCCATTGGCGGCCTCATGTGAACACGGTAATGAACATTCATGTTCCATAGTGAACAACTGTTAGCCTGTGAAGGCTGGAACCCCATAGAGTTATATAGTCAGCATACTTTTTAAAAACGAAAAAATCGTTAAGTTGTAACATAGTTTGTCTCTTTTTGGAAACAATAGCTTTTTTTTTCTAGTTCCATGCAACACGTATCTTAGTATGAAGCAAATCGTTAAAATCGGTTATGGAATTAATATTTTGAATCCGAAGTGCGAAGGTAGTTGCTTAAATTAGTTCCGTTTCATATTCGATTTTGAGTACCGCAAACTAAGTTTGGGATCCCAAAACGGACATATCCGTCAAAATATCGATTTGTGTTATTTTCCTGTTAAAACATTTTGTGCGGTTTATGAAAAAGTAACATCGATTAAGGTCGCTTTGGTACAACCGAAACATTGCGTGATCCAGTCGATATATCGAGTGATGAGTTGGAAAATCAACACACTGTTCTGTACCGTAATCCGATTTGGTGTCGTAAATTCCTGAGTATGCTAGGAAGCTGTAAACATTTTTCCCATTCCAGTCCTATTATGAAGTCCGAAGAAAACCGCGACTGACACCAGTTAGGAAAACCGGTCTGAGTGTGGGATTGAACTTGGCCTCCATGTGGTGTAGTAGTAAGCTTCGTGGCGACTGCTGCCATCTCTGAAGGATGGCGGGGTAACGGAGGGGAAAGGAGGAAGAAGATTGCCGCTTTATGAAGTGCATGACACTACTCAGTGTTGTTTCCTTCCCCCCACCCCAACCGTGTAGCCATGGCAGAAATATTTTGCTTTCGAGGAACTAACAGCAAGGTAGTGACACTGTGCAATTCAATGCAGGGATTAATTGATTTTTCTCTACCTCCCCTCCCGCTGTACGATGAAATGGAAATCCTTTAAAAGCTACTGAACCTCGTGACCAGGGGCTTATTATTGCCATGTAGCTACCTTTCCACTTTGAACGCATGCGAGTACATGATTATTTCAAACTCCGCTTGCTCCACGAGTATTTCTGTCGATACTACAAAAAGAGGTATGAAATCAGGACTACAATATGCTTCTTTGTAGCAGACCGTGTTCACTTTATGCCGGATATAATCCCCACAGTTAACGTAATGTGCTGCAAAATTACAATAAATAAAGGTAAAAAGGTAAAGTTGTCCCTGTGCTTAACTAATTAAGCACTACTCCATGAAGACGTATGGAGGAGTGGATGTATAGATCCACGTATTCTGGCCTCGGCACTAGTTGCAAGTGAGTGCCAAATAACAGTAGTGTACATAGAAATTCATGTTGACAAAATTTTGGAAACCAGGTAACAGAAATGTCGGGGTGGGGGTGAATTGGCAGCCGTTTTCTGTCTAATGTCGAAGTTAAGACTGCATGTAACTCTATGCTTTCGCGCCCCCACACCATCGTGACGTGGTACTTAATTAAACATGAGATCAACTTCACCTCCTTTACCTGCAGAGGGAACTCGGGGAATACTTGTTAACAGTTCAGTTCAGAAACTTTTTGTCTTCCCGTATCCTTTCAAAAACCCTAAAGATTAAAGTATACAGAACTATAATTTTACTTCGTATCTTTAGCTTGTTATATTTAAGCCTAAAACTTGGACGCCAGTTCAAAAGATAAAACGTAGAACAGTGGCGTTTAAGGTTCGGTTGCACCCAGGAAGGAAGAAGTAACCGGAAGACTGAGAAAATGGTATACGAGTAGTTCATCAAATTCCACTGTGATAAAACTAAGGCTAGGAACACACACAGCGACATCGGTCGTACGACGTCCGTACGGTTCATGTCTCATCAAATAGTAGACTATAAAGTGTAGTCTTATCTTTCATACGTGACGACATGCGACATTTGCCGTACGACAGTCGGAGAGCAAAGAAATGTATTTGGTCGCTCTAGTGTGAAAAGGAGGTCGTACGGCAAAAAATCGTACGACATTTTTGCTAGCGACCGATTTCTCTGTGTGTGTTCCTAGCCTAAGGCCGATGAAGGCGCGCATGAATGCCCTAAGAAAAACGTAACTTTTATTTTCAGGCGTCTTTATGGGAAGAGACCACTTTGGCGTCGGCATAGAGGTAGATGGGAGGGTAAAATTAAAATACAGAGGGTCCAAAATTCAGTTAACGTAGAACATTCTCTCGTGTTAACGGGAGTCTTCGATTTTAAACCTGCCGGTCAATTTGCAGAAAGGTATCACCACCGTGTGAGTTGTGCGTTGAATATGAAGGACTCATTGCCAACAATTTTTATAAATTCAGTGAATAAAGAAATTTCTAACGTATTTTAGGCACGTTTTACTGACCAGTTAACAGCTTTTGGGCCCCTTTGTGTAACTTAAAATGGAGGCGGATTGGATTAATCCGATTGAGTAGACAGGGGTTTCGAATGGTGGGATTTGTAGAGACGATAATGAACCCGCGGACCCTATAAAATTAGTGATTTCGTGACTATCTGAGTGATGAGCAGCGTCCCGAGAAGCATTCTGCACATACAAGCAAATTGGTCTATTCTCATGAATGGCTGGTTCCTTGAAGAAAGCAGTCTTCTGGGATTTGGCACCGTGTATATGTGGTGTTAACCGACGTTTCGGAGGAACGCATCGCCTCCATCTTCAGGGTAGAAGAAAAAATATAAGAATTCTGCAAGCGAAGAGACCGTGAGAACCGGTAAAAGCAGACACAGTCTGGATGGAGGCGATACGTTCCTCCGAAACGTCGGTTAACACCACATATACACGGTGCCAAATCCCAGAAGACTGCTTTCTTCATAGTCACCGCCGTGAAAGCCTCAAATCTTACACGGCTGGTTCCTTGTTCACAACTCTTTGCTTGTTTAAATGAAAACATCCACCTCACGTCAATTTACCGGCAAATAATAGACCCATATCATATTTGGTTAAAGACAGCCCACGAAAGCTCCTTCCTAAAGGTACAGTTAGCCTTTTCTCAGTGTTGAAATGGGCACAGTGAACGAGTACCGAGGTATAGCTTGTGTGGTGTTTGCGGTCATTCATCTTTTACGCCGTCTTGGAATCGCTGCTAACACTTAGGATGAGTAGACTGGACAGCTTCCTGGCTAGCTCTGGGGCTCTTTCCCCGGGGATAAAGCGGACAGGGCTTAAAGCTGACCACTCAACTTCATCTATCGCCGAGATCAAAAATGGTGGAGCCATTCCCCCATACGTCCTCATAACAAATTAGCACAAGGAATATTTTATGCATCTGCTCTCTGCGGGCAGGTAGTTCTGTAGGTCGAGTTGGGCCCCTCATAAAATTTTAGAGTAAATTTGTCTGTTAATACTTACTGCTTGATGGCGATGTTGTGCATTATTTCGATTTTTCATGTATTCGTGTTTTTGAACTGTTCCAAGAACTGGGATGTGACACAGTATTTTCCGTTGAACTAACAAAAAACCTAAGGCCACGCCATGGCTCAAACGGTTAGTCGCTGGCTTCCCACCGCGGCGGCCCGGGTTCGATCCCGGGTCTGGTCAAGTGGTATTTGTGGTGGACAAAGTGGCGCTGGGGCAGGTTTTCTCCGAGTACTTCGGTTT